GACTAGAAACCAGATGTGTCTTACCACAACTGAGAACCTTGCTTCTTCCTCTATCCCAACATTGGTATGAGTCAGAGGATATTTTAGTGAGATATATCACAACTAATAAAAATAATTTAAAATATAATTGTTCAAAGATTTTGGTCTAAAACAGTTAAGAATCTAGAGCCATATAATACAAAAGCAAATCAGATACAACTGAACTGTCTAGATCCGAAAACTACTACTTTATGAGGTAAGTTTTAGCGTAAATGTCATAGAAAACTGACACAAAATGTTGTTCAAAATTTACATAATTTATTCATTCTCAATTCATATTTGTTAAAGAAAGGGATACACATTTCTCAGAAAGTTTTTTAAAAAAAATCAGTTATACATAATTTTCATCTGACAGTCCAGTGAGAGGGGTGTTATTCTTATGATGTCCATATATAGGTGAAGACGTTATAGCTTAAGAGCTAAACAAGATATAGAAATGATTCAGTTATAGAGTATATAAAACACTGAGCAAGAGATTGAGCAGGGAAGGGAAGAGGCTATTAGATGCAGATTCTAATGGTGGCCACAGGAAGAATGGTTGTTTAGGAGCAAGGCCAAGGGTGACCAAAACAGGAAAACCTAAAGGTATCATTGCTTTAGCCTGTTATATTGGCAAAGTGAAGCTTTAAGCATACCAGCAGTGGGAAAGTATGAGTAGCAATGCAAATAGAAAGCAGTTCACCTTCTCTACAAATCCCTGCTGAGGTCACCACCTCCAGGAAAGCGATAGCACAGAACCTCACAATTCAAGCAGAAATTGAATGTGTAAGAATAGAACTTAGGGAATGCTCTAGAATTTCCAAGGAAAATACTTGGTTCACAGTCACTTTAAACGTAATAAAAGACATGCAGAGGGACAGTGACTTTTAATATGAAGATTTGCTCTGTGCTCTGTCATGCAGTTTGGGAGTGTCTGCTTCAACCTCATTCCGTGTGTGTGTGTGTGTGTGTGTGTGTGTGTGTGTGTGTGTGTGTGCGCGCGCGCGCGTGAAAAACACATGCCATGGCCCAGATATGGAGGTCATATATATACAAGCATATCCATATTTCTGCACACATAAAGGCAATTAGAAAATCTTTAAGGTTTAAATTTTTACACGTATAAAAAATTTAAACCTTAAAGAAAATTTTAATTTCTTTTATATATGCAGAGATATACTGATCACGGGTGCCCAGGCCTAATGGATACACACATATACAATAGAACTCTTACATGTAAAGCTCAAGGAATGTCCTGAAAGAGGCAATAGTAGGGTGGCAAGACCAGGAAGTCTGCTATGCAGTTGTGTCTCCCAGCAATGACTGGGAAGCTACATCCAGGATACTTCAACAATATGGCTGCCTTAGCAAGACCTGAACAATGGCATCACCAATTAGACTTGCTAACATGGAAGGGGGAAGTCTCATAGGTCACTAGTCCTAGAAAAAGAACTACAGACAACTACTAACTTCTGAGAGGAGAGGTTGCATCTTCCAGTGATGAGCCCCTAACTGAGTATCCAATACCGAGTGGTCAACTTTGAATGCATAAAAACACAACACTTAAGAGACCCAGGAAGTTGGCATGTATATATTTATGTGTATACATATATTTATAAATATTATATATTTATGTGTGTACATAAGTAACAATAACATTCAAAGAAGTCATTGATTTGAGAACGAGTGTAGGGGTTGGAGGGAAGAAACGGAAGGGCAGGAATGACATAGTTATATTTTAATTACTTGGAAATTGTCATTATTTACTTTTTAACAAATCACATTAAAGTCATAAAAAGTTAGACTAATGAGTATAATTCTATCCTCAGTATATAAAGATGCAAAGAGTCAATCCTGTACGAAATACCTATATCCTACAAGGTACTATGGGAGTGGGAAGGGTCTATACTTTCTCTGCCTTCCAGGAGTCCAAGCTGGGAGAGATAAAATGTGTGCTCTAGTCCTCTTAATTCAAAACTAAAACCATGCACATGCTTCTTGAGTGGGAGAGAGAGAGAGAGAGAGAGAGAGAGAGAGAGAGAGAGAGAGAGAGAGAGAGAGAGATTTGTGCCTTAAGGAAAGACGTATCACAATCAGTTGGAGGAAAATTACAAAGAATATATCTCCTAGGACAGGTAATCATGGACTTTTTCCAGGAAAATTTGAGGTGTCAGAAATGAGGTATTGTGGGTGGAGGAGACCATGTAAGACACACAAGGACCAGTAGGCACTTTGAACGTTGAGGCCTGTGTTGCAGTTCTTCGGACTGGAAAGCCCATGCAACATGTTTAGGCTGGAAGTTTCTTTAGGAGTGGGACTAGGAGAAATCTGCTTCTGATAAATCTGCTCATAATGCCTGACTGCTGTACTGTTGATAAGTCAGCTGGTAATGCCTGAATGCTGTGCTGATGATAAATCAGCTGATAAAGCCTGAATGCTGCTGCTGATAAGCCAGCTGGTAATGCCTGAATGCTGTGCTGCTGATAAGCCAGCTGGTAATGCCTGAATGGGGGATTCACACTGACACATGTTTACCAAGTATTCATCACACACCACACATAATAGTGCCTGGTAAAGGAATCAATAAGCACCATTTGTTTACTACTCAATTTTTAGATAGGAAAATTAATGCTTAAGGAGGTCAGCTGATGGGTCTAAAGACTTAAATTGTTAAGCCTGGGGCCCCCAAACCTGGACTTCCCCTACACATATCTCTTGCATCTCCCCAGGAAGAGTTGGCATGAAATTAATCCTTCATCAGTCAAAATGCCACTGGGCATATGCAAGCGTCAAAAGTCCACCTTGAGTCCCATCCAGGGAAACCCGGGCACATTAAAGGCTACAATAAATATGGGCTTGATGCCCTTGCTCACTTTCTTCTCAACAAAGCAGTTAGTTCTGGCCAGACTGTCTAACCTCTCTGGACTCTGGGATCCTTGCCCAGGAGTGACATCGTTAATAGTTCCCTTTTCAGAGGATCTTGAGAGAAGTCACTTCAATGGTGAGTGTAAAATGCTTCCTAGTATCAGGCACCCAGTAAGTATTTGGTAAATCTTAGGGATTGATGTGAGAGGTCACAGTGTAAAACAGTTTACACACTGCACACACTATCTTGTGGCCTTTTGGGATTTTAGGATATTGGTTCTAGATGACCTTTCTCTATTTGATATGCTAGAAAACAGCCCCAGCAAGGGCCAAAGATGGCAATATTTTTGTCAAAATCCATTATATCGCTGATTCCTAATAAAGCAAACAAACCACTTACCGCTGATTGCCAATCAGGATTCAGCCTGCCTGCCAATCACATAAGTGGGTCTGTATAACCAGAAAGGGTTTTTTGTTTTGTTTTGTTTTTGTCTGCCCTTCTCTCTGGTACTGGGAGGGTCTGCTTCCCCAACAGGAATCTTAGGCTTTGGCATGGAAGCAGTGAGAGACCCACTTTGCTGCAAAAGGCATCTAAATACACCACAGAGATTTGTCCTTCTCAGGCATTCTCTGTTCTGTGCAGGCAGAGGATGATAGAGAAAGATGCAGGTTGTGGAATGTTACTTTAACTATGTAAAGACGTGTTACATTTGTTTATGTTGTGGGCTGTTACATAACGAAGTGTTGCTGTTTCATCTACGGCATCTGGTTAGTCTAGTAAAAAGTCGGAACAGGCAATAGAGGGAATGGTGGGGCTGGCAGGCAGAGAACATAAGTAGAAGGAATCTAGGCTGGAGACAGGGAAACAGGAGAAAGGAAAAGGACATGCCAGGGTCCAGCCAGGCATCAGCCATCCAGACAGACATGGAGGAAGCAGGAAAGTAGGACATGCAGAATGAAAGAAAGGAAAAAAAGCCTCGAGGTAAAAGACAGATGAAAAGAAACGGGTTAATTTACATTTTTTGTTTGTTTGTTTTTGTAAAGCTAGCCAGAAACAAGCCTAAACTAAGGCTGAGACTTAACTAATATTAAGTCTCCATGACATGATTTGGGGGTTGGTAGTCTGAGAAACCCTGCTACAGATGCATAATCTAAATAGCACCTTTAAATTTTTTTATCCCATTAACTGCAAATTCAGTCTAAACACTGGGTAAAGAACTTGCTTCAGGCTCACTGACCTACAGTTGTCACAGTCGCTCATGTGTACATTTGGATAAATTTGCTGGTTAGTAAATTCACTGAGCTTCATGGTCCTAGCATACAGACCAATTGTAGCACCTGTGTGTAATTTGAGCAAAAGGAGATCTAAAAGGCCTTCCAGAATGCCCATCATCAAATGTCCTAGCTAATGACATCACCACATCACAGCTGTGGAAAGAGCTACTAGAAGGTTCACTGTAAAATTACACAGAATGCTAGGGTAATTGGCTTAGCTTGGGGAACAGGGCATGACAGTTACACATCTGAAATCCCTGAAGGCACAACACTTTGGCATGCTGTTTTCCCTTAGAGTGATACCACTGAAAAACAACAACAGCAAAACTCTGTAGCACTTTGTTTTAAGGAAAGATGTAGTTGAAAGATAAAACACTAGCAAACATTGTGACATTACAGGTTAAAACAAATGCCTTGTGACTCAGACCTTTTAGAAAAGAGAAGTCTAAACAAAGTCTTATTTCGTGGTTGTGTACTTAAAAATCTTCATAACTGTTTCCTCCTGTTAATTAGGATTTCAGAGGCTGCCAGGATTCTAGGAAGCTTCAAACCCACCAGTTTTGATTTTTTTTTTTTTTTTTTACACAAAACTGTCTGGAGTTTCCAGCCCCCAGAGGAAATGATGGATATACATAACTTTATGACAATCTGTTTTAGTAACTGGAAATTTCCATGTCTTCCCATGGAAAGCCAGGGGAAAACAATTCTTTGTGCTCTCGGGCTGGTGGCCAGGAGGGCTCAGTCCCTCTCTGCATCCAGGATCCTAGGACTGATGTTTCAAAGTGCGGTTGTGCTGGTTTGGATGGAGTCTTGGGACCACAGAGGCCGTCAGTCTGTCTGGCAGGCTCCTCATGGAAGTGCAAATGGCAGGTTCTGTAGGCCAAGGGAATCCTCACCCAGTGTCCAGAGCCTCTTGTGAGTGTCCCATCAGATGATCCCAACTCCCAAGGCCACAGGTCCAGATCTGGGAAGAAGAGACCACAAACAGGAAAATAAAGAAAGCACTGTTCTGATTGGAGCATACATAACCTCTCAGGATAGACTGGAGGGAGAAACAACTTTTTAAAAAATCTAGATAACTAACCCATCATGACTCAAAGCCATTCACTCCACTCTCTCTACCATTGATTGTCCCAGTCCAAAATTCTTCCCAGCACTATTGCAAGAGCTCCCCCACCCCACCCCACCATTGTATGGATCACAGACAGCTGCACGCTGATGAAACATTTCATAGTGTGTCAGATGCCCTGGAGCTGGAATTACAGGCAGTTATGAGTTGCTCAACATAAATGCTGGGAACCAAACTTAGATTCTCTGCAAGGATGTCTTAACCATGGAACCATTCCCACATCCTTTACTTCTGTTTTTAAAGACTCTGGCAGTTCCAACCAGCTGACTTACTCCATGCACTTGACCAAGTGCATGGTCAAGACTGTTTCCTCATCTCTTGGTTTAATTTGTTCTATCAACTTGGATAGGCTACACCAACCCATTGTCTTATCCAGTGACAGTCTAGATGTTGCCATGCACTTCATGGATGTAATTAACATGTAGTGTCAGGTAAATTTTAAGCAGATTATGTTCTGAAGTGTAGGTTCCTTCCAATCAAGTGAGGGCTTAAGAACAAACCCAGTTCCCAGAGATGAAGACACTCTGCCCGGAGATTGTAATGTGAAAAGTCGTCTGCTGGCCTATTCTACCAAGCCCAGTCTCACTGTCCCCACCATCATGGGTGCCAAAGCTTTAACATGACTCTCCCTATGTTTGCCTCTCACTCTCCCCTCCTCCACCCCAGGGAGACCCTGGACCCCAACAGCAGGGACCAGCTTCCCCGGTTATCTCTTCTCTTTTCCTAGTTGCTTTATTTTGCATGACAGAAAGGAAGGATTGAGGCTTTTCCGGTTATGTGGATAAATATTCGTTACAAAATCCTCACGATACTGTTGACTCAACAAAGACATTCTAAGACTGCAGAGCATGTGGGCATGCAAGAGGGCAAGGCATTCAGGAGACTGAACAAGTCTTTATATGTATGTCCTTTGAGTTCGCAGATACTTGCGTCTGCCTCAATGACCCACATTTTAAGGCTGGCTGTTGGTATTTCACCACTAGCCCAGAAGCTGCAAATGGGTCCCGTCTGGGTGTATCTGATTTGGCTAATTTGGCAGTTAAAATTCTTTTCACCTACTTTTTACTAACTAGCAGACATTACATAAACATCTGCGTTCCCATCTTGTCAGTGACAAGTTCGAGCTGAGTAGCAGGCTACTCTCCAGTTGGCCACCGTCCTCACTCCTATCTAGTTACCACCCTCCTTCCATTTCACCACCGGCTGCCTGGAAATCGGAGTTTCTCACCTCTGCTCTCAGGCCTATCCCATTTCTTCTGTCCCGAGGAAGTGAAGGAGTCACTTATAGAAAGACACTGAGCTGGGTTGGAAGGATAGCTCAACCCTTAAAGGCTAGGCTCACAAAAGACACTGAGCCTGTAGGACCTACACAAGCAGGTGCTTCTGGGTCAAGAATCCATTTATAGGAATTGGGATTCCCATGTCTGAAGAAACAGATATTTAATCAGGCTTTCCAAGGCTGGCGGGAAACTGTTGAGTCAAGCAAATCTAATTGCTGACTCGAGCTGAGTAATCAAGCCTATGCTGCCCTATGCTGCATTTATTGCCTGGCTCTGCGCCCTGGGTGTGGGCCCTCAGTAATGGCTTTCAGGCCAGTTGTGGGTAGGCCTGGGGAAAGGGCTGAGGGCCCGCGATAACTCTTTTCCATCACATGTGTGCTGACGATTGCCATATCTTGCGGTTGAGCCAAAGGTTTCACAACCCGTGGCTTTGGAATTGTGATGCTTGCCACACTAGACTTCTAAACCAAGTAGCATGAATATCCCGAGTTTCTGACACAAAGGTATTTTGAAGTTTGATTCTCCTCTATCATTTTGTTCAACTCAAGTGTCACACTATATCATGTCTAGCCCACAAAAGAAGTGGCTTTTTACTGAAGCAAACTAGACATCCTATTGTCTCACATGACCCAGGTCTACCAGAAGCTGCTTCCCAAACCCTACACCCTCCATTCCACCAGCCTGCAGGAATCTGTTACCCCCCCTTCTGATGTCCACAATGCATCCCTTCCCAGTCACCGATTCCAGCTGTGAGCCTGCCACCCTCTTCGAGAGGCCTCATTAGCCCGGCAATACTCCAAGCTCAGCACCACAACATATTTGCACTGTTGGCCATAAACCCTCAGTCACTTGTACCTCAGCCGAGTTACTGTCTCACTAGCAAATTTTGACTGTGTTTCTAACTTGACCATTACAGACTTCCCACTCGGTATATCATCTATGAGAATTTAAGGATACAGACAGAGCAAAGAATGGCAGGATTGCTCCAGGCTTGAAATGGATGCTATCTTTGCTCTCCATCAAAGACATGGAGCGAAGTACAATTGCAAGAGCAAGCTTAGTAGAACTGCTACCAGTTAGAAAGCTTCTGTGTACACGGATCCTATTCGACTTTCACGAATGAATTAGCACAACCATGGATACTGTTGTCCCTCCGTATCTCTGTGTTCCACATCCCCTGAGGCTCCTGTGTTTGAATACATGGTCCCCGGCTGGTGATGCAGTTCTGGAAGATGTAGACCTTTAATGAAGTGGGAGTTAGCATGGGGAAGTAGGTTACTAGGGTTTGGCCTTGAGGTAAATAGCTGGTTCCTATCCTACATCCCGTTCCACAGTCACTTCCTATGGAACTGAGGTGCAAGCTCTCACTGCCGTGAAGATGACTGCTGCCATGCCTTCCCTTCCATGATGGACTATATAGCCTCTCAAACCATGGTCCAAAATAGACCTTTCCCTTAAGTTGCTTCTTGTCTGGCAATTGGTTGCTACACTGAGAAAAGTAAACAATACACCCTTTTGTTCAGTAAATAATACAACATAACTACTATCTACAAAGCATTTGCCCTGTAATAGGTATTTTAAGTAATCAAAATGTTTTCAACATGCACAGTTTTGGATTTATGGCACGCTTGTCCTCCCCCCCCCCGGGTATCTCATAATGTCCCACGCTGGACCAAACTGGCTCCTAACCATTGCCCGGCCTCTGTACCTATAGGCTGTTGGCACTGAAGCAGGTCACACAGTGAAAAAAATGATTTCAAGCCTATGTGCAGGTGCATATAGTATATCTGCAAATATTGGGCCATTTTACCAAAGGGATACAAGGATTCACTAATTTAAGTGAGGCTAGAACCAGTTCCCATGGATATCAGGGGATACTTGAATTTTCTAACTCAAACTGAGATAGAGAAATAGGTGAGAAAGAAAAGCAAAACCATGTTTACTCATCATTCTGTTCACTTCTGTACTGTGGTGGTAGAATTCATTGTCTGCAAAGCAAAAATCCCAGAAATGTCTAGTTTCTGTATTACTCCTCCTTTTTCACTTTAAAAATAGGTTTATTAGTTCTTTGTGGATTTCATAAATGCCTAGGACGGATTTTGATTGTATTAATCTCCCCATACTCTCCAGTATTCACCCATATCCCCACAAATCCTTCCAACTCTGTGTCTTCATGTGTGCTGCCCATTGACTCAGGACATGGAACCATCTACTGGAGCACGGTCAACTTACCAGGAGCTACATTCTTAAAGAAAATGGATTTTCCCTCCCCGAGAAGACATCAACTGTCAACAACTCAGATAGGTGTGGGGGCTCATGAGACCCTCTTTGCTCCATGCTGGAATGTTAAGGATGCTCCAGCTTTTGCAGGTAGCCATAGCTGTCCCATCAATGTCCAGAAGAAACTGTTTTGTGCCTGTCCTTCCCAACCTCTGGCTCTTACAATCTGTTTCTTCCTCCTTGATGGGCTCTCTACTAGATGGTTTTATGTCAACCTGACAAACTAGAGTTACCTGGAAGGAGGGAATCTTAATTGGGAAAATGTTTCCATAAGATCAGCTATAACACATTTTCTTACTTAGTGATCAATGGGGGAGGTCTCAGTCCATTTTGAGTGGTGCCATCTCTGGGCTGGTAGTCCTGGGTTCTATATGAAAGCAAACTCAGCAAGCCATAGGGAGCAGGCTAGTGAGCAGCTCCACTCCATGGTGTCTGCATCAACTCATGCCTCTAGGTTCCTACCATGTTTGAGTTCCTTTCTGTCCTAGTTAGGGTTTCTATTGCTGCAATGAAACAGAATTACCAAAAAGCCAGTCGGGGAGGAGAGGGTTTGTTTGGCTTACACTTCAGCATTGCTGTTCATCAACGAAGGAAGTCAAAACAGGAAGTCAAACAGGGCAGGACTGTGGAGACAGGAGCTGATGCAGAGGTCATACATGGGTGCTACTTCTTAACTTGCTTCCCACAGCTTGTTCAAACAACCTTATAAAACCCAGGACCAAAAGCCCAGGGATAGCACCACCCTACTGCCAGAGGTCATGCTACTGTTCTCCATGGGCCTGAGGCAACCAGAAACCAAAATCATTGGCTTTTGGTTTAGATTCTTAAAAAGTTCTGACTCGGTCCTCTAGGACCACCCAAGATCTGGTCCTTGGGCTGGTGTTAGCTGGACAACTGCTAGTTAATAGTTTTGAGTCTAAAACTTAGAAACTTTTATAAACATCATTTCTGTTATGGAAATGTGTTATATTTGTTTTACTAATAAAAATGGGGGGGGGGTGTAAGAAGACAACATAGGGAAACAATTGATGCCCAAGCATGACAACTTAAGCTTGATCCGCAGCATCTGTGTAAAAAGCCGAGTGTGGTAGCATATACTTGAAAGACAAAGTATCCCTGGGGCTCAGTGGCCAGCTGTACATTGTGTGGAGAAAACAAGGTATATGGCTCACAAGGAATGGTACCCAAGATTGATAATCTGTATACTACACTCAGACATACATATGTGCCCTTGTCATGCATGTACATGTATGTACATACACACAGCACACACACACACACACACATACACACACTCACATACACATGGATAAAATAAAATACAAATACAAGTTGGAACTACGTCGTTGTGTTTTTTCCATTACATATAAACCACAAACTTACTATGTAGCCCCAGCTGATCTCAAGCTAGAAATTCTCCTTCCTTAGCTTCCCGAGCATGGGATTAAAGGCATGCATCAATCACTATACTTGGCTTTCCATTACAGTTTTTAAGAATCCAATTTACATAGTATATTATGAAAGTATCAACAACACTTTGAAAATTGAACACACACATGTGACATACACACACAAACCTGTTGTTGCCCAGAGTTTGGGAAACATACTTTTTAAAATCTGAAGACTTGTTCCAAACTTTTTACATCTTTAACCTCCTTTCCACAAAGCAATTTGTATGCATGTATGCAATTATCTCTGTGTGTGTGTGTGGGGGGGGCTGATAACTACAGAAATCTTGCATTTATTGACAATCGATAATAAACTTATTTAAAAGCAATTCTTTGTGCATATGTAATTTTACCATTCATTAAAGATGAAAGAAAATTTGTATACTAATGACTCGGTTGTGTTTATAATTATCAATGTGCAGAACACCAACACATAAATATACAGCACAAGTTAGCAGAAGTATATCTAGGACTATTTCAGAAATTGCTGGAAATTCTGTCCTAATAGCAAACCAAAATTCATTTATTAAGTTTTGAATGAAATGCTAGCCAACAATGAAGTTTTAAGAAACAAAATATTAAATGCAACTAAATGTAAAGTTACATAAGTTTGATATCTGCTGAGGATAGATGGTAGAAAAATATTAAAAGTGGTTTGTGTGGCATGTAGTGGTACACACTTCCAATTCCAGCAAAGGCAGGCAGATCTCAGTGAGATCCAAGGTAGCTAGGCCTACACAGTGAGTTCCAGGACAGCTAGAGCTAAATAATGAGACTGTCTTGAAAAATGAAATAAAGTGACATTTTTGTAACCAAAGCATTATATTTTAGTAAAATAATAAAGCTCTGTATGTACAATAAGTCATAACACTGCAAATCATAACACACGGTACTCTCAAATCAGATGAAAGGTGTTTCTACAGTATTCCTTGGTGTGGCATTGTATGACATCATGCACAGTGCAGCGGGATTTTGCTGCATGTTCAGAACCATGTTGTCATGAAATTATGTGATATAGCATTGGTAAATACTGACAAACACCTCAGATTCACTATACATTTACTTTTGAATTGACTATTGGTCCTTTCATGTTCAGACACCATTTGCCAAGGTTTCCTTTTGGAATCCCCATTCATTTAAACTACCCATGATTTAATAAATTCTATAAATCTAAACTCTGTAGCAGGTAATTGATATGGGACTCTGACTTTATGATGGGCCCAACATATGAATGACAACCCATTCAATTCTTTAGATTAAGACTTGTTCTTCCTTCCTATGGATAATACCACCCAGAATGATAATCTTTTATTAAACTGTTTTATTATGAAAATGTCACAAGTTTTAGAGTCTGACAGGCCTATGGGACTGCATTTGAGTCTACGTTGTGTGATTTCGAGAGATCACATGGCTTTTCTGAGTCTCAGTTCCTTCATGGGGAAAATAAGGGCACCGTTCCCTGCCTTGGGCAAAACTCATAATTAAAAGAAAAGTTTAGATTTGTCACAGAACCATGAATAAGAATAGGATTTCCTGCAGTGGTGGTAATATTGGGTATCTGCAGTGTCCCATATTGTAGCCTCTAGCTACCATGTGTGATTTCTTTAAATATGGCTACTAAGCCCTAAACTCAAATGGCCACAGCTGGCTATTACACCAGTCAGAGCAGGTCTGGCATGCTTACCAACAAATAGACTCAGTGTCTATATGCACTTCAGAATCGCATAACTGGCCGAAGTCCAAAAGTAAGCAATGATGGAACATTCTGCCTTAAATGGTGAGATATATATATATTAGAGAACATTATGGAGAGGGGGGAGGAAAGGATGTAAGGGACAGAAGGTGGGGAGATACTCAACACAAAGACTGACACAGCCACTGTACTCATGAACCCACTATAATATGTTTATCCATCCACTCAAGACCTGCACAAGACTGGTCCTGTCAAATCTCATCATGGGTAAGAGAGGAATCTGCGATGCCCACATCCTTCTGAGGGGCTGTTGGCAGTTAATGGTTGTTGTGGTGTAGTTACTTATATATTGACCTTTCTTTAAACAACTTCCACCGTGCTCCTGCAAACAAAACAAAACAAACAAACAAACAAACAAACAAAAAAACCAACACAACTCCACTTAAACCCAGTGAGCCACACCCAGAAAGAAGAAATGAAAGTAGAGGAGGGGCTTGCTGGGAAGAAAGCCAGGAGGGAAGGAAGGGGAGTAAGAGTGGGGAATGGGGACGAAATGCCTACAATTCATTATACATACATATGCACGTATGGATAGAAATAGAGTCAAAATATAAAAACTCACACTTTTATTGAGCATCCTCTGACACACACCAGACAATGTTTGAGATATTGCAAATATACCTATCGATGAGAGAAACCCAATTTCCAAGAAACGTAGGCCGAGCTAATACAGCAGAACTTGCTATCTTTATAGGGGAATTTGCCAGTGTCTTCTCTGGAATGCCTCATGGCACTCTTTGCTCTTCTGATCCCTTCTGCCCGCATCTCTGTGTCTTTCTCTAATTTCTCTCCTGCCTCTCTCCCTCCCTCCCTCCCTCCCTCCCTCCCTCCCTCCCTCCCTCCCTCCCTCCCTTCCCTTTCCTCTCCCCACTGCTTTTACCTGTTCCCCCTCTCCCTTTCTTCCTTTCTCCCCCTTCCTCCTTATAGTTTCTTTTTTCTCCCAAGGCTAGGTTTCACTGAGCAGCCCAGGCTGCTACTCCAGTCTCCACCTCCCCCCGAATGCTAAGCTCTCATTTTCCTCTGACAACAGTTCTTGAACTCCACAGTTAGAGGTCTTGTGGTCAGCCCTGATAATTCATGCAAAGGGCAGTGGACAACACACAAAGTACTTCAACAGATGAGGACACAGTGTAGGATGACAGCTGCCCAAACTTCTCCTCCTTGCTGGTGCTGCCCACTTCAAACAAATTAGTCAAAGATGCCATTTCCTTTTTGACAGACAAAGACAGTGTGGAAAGAAGATTACTGGGTACTGCCTCTGTCCCAGTAAGGAAAGCACCAGACAGATTTACATAATTCTGGGGTTTTTATGTACTGGCTCCTTCCAGGAAGCGAGGGACAGACAGACTGCAGATAGACACCAGAGCAGCTCTGTTTAGGTTAGGACTTGAAGCTGCAGGCATGGCCCAGCCCTGGCTGGTCCAATCGAATAGGTCCAGGCTGAGCTGATGCTCACAAAACCCTCCCCAAACTGAGAAGGCTCCTAAGTCTCTCTCTATTCCTCACCCAGACAGAAGGGGTGGATCCCTAGGAGACCAGGAAGGTTTAACACAGCTCATGCCCAGAACCAGAAAAAGAATGATGGAAACCGCCGCTGGCAACCTCTCACAGCAAATGCTGCCTGTATTACCCAAAGGACAGCACTCTGGAGGCTCAGAGTGCAATGCAAACCTTTTCAGTCCAGAAACAAGCATCCGCTTAAGGAAAGTCTGTGTGTGGGTTCAGCTCACTGAAGACTGAACCTTTTTCTTCACTGGGTAAAAATTTCCCGGGGCCGTCTCAAAGCCCTCCTGCCCTTGACGTGTTTCAGTGGAGACTGGCAGGTCGCAGGCTACTGTGAGTCAAGCAGAGGGCTCCCACTGCTTGTAAGTCACTCACCTACGTCTAGAATACAGCTTTCCACAGAGCTTCTTTCTCAGGGCTATCACTGCAGCTATGAAGATTAAAGCAATGATGCAAGACGGGAGGAACACATGAAGTGGTGATGTTCTGGGGACCCTGGGTTCAGTCCAACCTGGGTGAAGGAAAGAATCAAAATCCCATCACAGGGCAGCTCACAGCCAGGCTGGTGTGGCTTTCTGAGCCCTCCCCCCCACCCCCACCCACAGGGTTCAGCCTTCACTCCTTGCCTCTCCTCATTTCCTTTCCCAGCCACCCAATTAGTCTCTAGTTTGATCTCCATTTTCACTGGTTAAAAAAAAAAAAAAAAAAGTGAAGCTATGAAATTTCCCCAAAGTTAGACTGCAAGGGGCTTAGCTGAGATACACCCCAGACTGGGGCCAGATCCTGTGCCTGTTGCCACTTTGTCGTTCCATCCATCCATCCATCCACTCACCCACCCACTTACCCATCCATCACCACCACCCCCATCTCTGTCTCTGTCTCCATTTCCATTCTCCTCATTAACCTGCCTTTCTCATTCAAGCAGGAAAAACAAAACAAAACCTCAGTTCGAAAATTGAATTTCTCCCTCACTGATGAGAACTCAAGGGCTTAAAAGTACCACTAGTTATTTGATTTTAAAGACTAGCAAGGTCCGTTGGAAAAAGCAGAACATCCCAGGCAGTGGTGACATATTAAATCTAGCCATTCAGGTCATGGGGTGAATGATTACAAGGGATCCTTAGCTTGTCTGGACCAACCAGGGTGCTGGTGCTGAGGACAGCATCCATTTAGAGGTGATGAGAAGACTAATTCAGAGGCCGGGGGACAGCCTTATAGAGCTCTGGGTATCTTCAGGTCGGCCAGGTGTGAAGAAGAAAGGATTACCGGAGTGTTCACAATTTGGTAATGAATGGGCTCACAGGTTGTGTCTGTTTCTGAGATTGGAACGTTGCCTCATGGTGTGATGGACAGAGACTAAAAGGAAAACTGTACAGAACTATTCAGGAAGGAGGGCTTGAACCAATGGCTGCTCTGCTCCTGACTCTCCCTCAAAAGGTTGAGAACCATGGAATAGTTTAACTGAGAAAGTGCTAGACACCACTTAGTCCTGAGCCACTGTAGCACCTCAGGGATGCTAAATAATCTATCTATGGTCACTGCTTCCAAGGAAATGGCACAGCCAGGGTTACAGACCCAGATCTGCTCAGGCTCCATAGGAATCATCTTCACCCAAGAAGAACAAAAAGGTCAGAGTCTGCTTGTCTAAGCCATGTCACAAAACCCTGGGTGACCGCACTGCCTCTTCACTACTAAGTGCATGCTAATCAGGCCCCTGCCTCAGTGCCTTTGGGAACCTCTGTTCTGGCCAAGTTTCTTCACAGATCTTCTATGTGTCGAGTTTCTGCTCATTCTTGAACACTCTAGCCTCCCTAGACTGTATCTGGAGGACAGATGTGGCACCTAAGTCATCCCTCAGTCCTGTATGAAGCCTAGCATCACTGCGTGAGAGGTGTCAGTCGGTTTCTGGGCTGAACAGACTAGTCCACCTAGCTGATACTTTGTATCACCTAGTAGTTACCTTGTGGCAACCTGCTGGTTCTTCTCATCCACTCCCTCCCCTCCCAGCGCTAGGCTACTAGCTAGGCATGGTTCTCAAAAGACTGCGTTTCTAACACATGGGCCAGAATTTAGGTGTACCCAGTAGCAAAAACTAAGTTCAGATCAAAAGTGGGTCTTCTGGATCTTGACTGTAAAACATCAAAGTATCTTTTACCACTTTTCTCTCTCCAAAGGTAGAAATATGGATTTGGCAGTGACCCTGCTTTGGCAGTGCAACAGTGACAATAACCAGAAGAATGGCAGAGAAACAAGATGGGAATAACCTGGGTCACTACATGACTTATGGGATGTAGTCATTTAGCTGCTTAGAGCACTTTCTATATTTGAGTGTTATGTAATGGGAAAACACATGGCTGCTTTGATTCATTGTATGCTTGTCTCTTCATTGTGGCGGCTTAGTCTACATATTCTTCAATATTATTTTATTATAACTGCATTCTCTTTAACAATGATAAGCAATGGGAAAAAACAACTGTCCTGTTCTTACCACAGACTACTGCTGTTCAGAAAGAAGCCAAGAATCTTACTGGTGGTAACTTAGTTTTTCACTTCACCCTTTAGTCTTGTGTTTCATGTAATTACCACAGTAACTTTTTAGCATTGAAATCTGTGTGGTTACAGAGCCCACATTCTTTTCTGCTGCCTGGATCCCCCCCCTCAGATGTGCCAGGTGGGTTTCACTTTTCTGCCAACCCCACCAGGCATTCTATAATCACTCCCACAGTCTAGCCCAGTTATATTTCCCAATGACAATATATAGCAGCTGGCTGAGGACAGCCCTGTTTCTAAAGAAAAATGACCTGATAACTCCCTAACTTCTGACCAAAATTCAGTATGTTCAGCTTTCTGTCTGTAGTGGCAGACACCCTCCCACACCCAGTTTCTCGTTTCTGCATCTGTTTTGTTCATTGACTTCTGGAGAAGCCTGACGTGGTTCGTAGAGGTCAGCAGTGAGTGAGTAGCTTGGTTTAGGAGAGTGAGTAGAAACAGGATAGTTTTAAGTCAGCCAGGCAACACCTTGGGAGGATGTGTGACTGTGGTTATCTCTGCTGCTGCTGCTTTGTGTCACACATGAGGGCATCGTCTCTGAGCTGACTGCCCACACAGACTAGGAGCTGAGGTGAGGGAGCTGGGGTCTTCAAGATGGTATCTCCCACCCAACACTGCAGCATTTACCAAGCGCTGCTTTCACTCCAGTCTGGATATAAAGAATGCCCGTATGAACTGTGAAAACACATGGACAATACACATAAAAACCCGAGAAAACATAATACACAGCCACAGGAAGATAAGCAAGTGGTGTTGGTAAAAGGTCTTAATGAAGAGATGTGGGCAAAAGACCTTAATGAGCAAGACGAGAACCTGAGTCTGAAGCTGCATGAGTGGTCTGAGGGACAGGGCTGGGGGCGGGGGCTGCAAATAGTGTCGTTTTATGGGGAAGGAACTTAGTGCACAAAGGTGTGGAAGTGGCCCCTAGATCTTAACATAACTGACTCCATGATGGAAGTACCATTTGGACCATAAAACTCAGCACATAGACAGAACCACCTGCCACAATGAAAACAAAGACCTGACCCATCAACGTCCATAGTCCTGGGAAAGTCTCTAAAGTACTAACCTTGCTTTTTGGCTTCTATAGTTATGTTTATGGCTAAATGTTCTTGTTAACTGAAATGTGTCAACCCAGAATATAGTTTCTGTTCTTAAAAGCTCACCCGGAGAAATACTTGGGCCTACACTGGGATCTAGTGGCCAGAGGGCTAATAAAGACTTTCTATTGACTGAAACCCATGTCTGAGCAGTCTTCTCAGGTGGATACCCCACATTTCTAGAGGTCCCACAGAGACCAGACCTCAAGACACAGGGCAGGGGTGTCTCTGAGATCCTTGGAGTGAGGAAGAGTGAAGTCCTAAGGGGACTCCTGGGGCTACAAAACCTGAACTATGGGGCTCTCATTGATCAATTGATGCCCAATGCTTTGGAAGAGTCTGACTTCTCCACCTCACAAGGAGACAAATTAGAAAGTTGCCTGGTTTGTCACCTCTAAAGGTAAGACTGGTGAAGGCACCTCCTGTTTGGACACAAAGGAGACGTTGGACTGACGCTGACTCAGTGTCTGAAATCCACGTGAGCTGTCACTGAATTCTCCCTCTGTTCAGGCTCATCAAAGTGCAGTGGGCACCTTGGGTTGTCTTTACTGTGCTATGTGTGTGTGTGCCTGTGTGCGTGTGCATGAGCGTGTGCATGTGCGTGTGCATGTGTGTGTGTGTGTGTGTGTTTCTATGTGTTTCTGTCAGTTCTGTTTCCTGTACTGACCAAGAGGTTTCGCTGAAGTCAGAACCCCCTAGCTTAAGACCAGTACCCCCTCCTGTTGGGGACCTGAATCCTTTTGGATATGCCAGGTTGTCTAGAGACGACCCCCCCCCAAAGAAACCCCTCCACCTTCTCTCTTCCAGGATCAGGAACACTGGCTTATTTCCTGTTCAGTCAGGGTTGGCTCCATGGGGAGGTGGAGAAAGTATAAGCCTCTCACCTAGCAGCCCCCCACAATCATCTAAGCAGAAGGCACACATGGAGGGGAGACTCCCTCTGCTCCTTCCCCTCTGCCTGCTTTAAGTAACCCCAGGGAAAGAGGATTTTAACTCCATCTTTCATGATTGTTTCCTTTCAACCAATTATCCATTTAACGAAAAAAACTGAAAACTAGCATTCTCTGACCAAAGTAGAAAAACCATCTGAGGCCCTGGATTTTCCCTTCTGTCCAGCACTGACCAATGGGGCGTTTTTCACTGGGTCCTTTCAGAGCTGTAAGCAAGTAGGATCAGTATTATTTCACTGCGTGTGGTGCTAGTTAACTGGTTCTGGTGACACTTCCAAGAAAACGGGTGTCTTATTAAAGTATTAGAGCTTGACTGGCCATCCTAGCTAGTTCTGAAAGCGGATCTCAGCCTTTGGATTCCTGTACCCCCAAAATCTGAACCTATTTGGACACATAGGTGGGAGCGTCTAATGAAGCCCAAGGTTCAAGAGAAAGAGAGTGAAAGGGTCTGATCAAAGGGCAGAGGGCTGGGTGACCCGACTATTGTCTTTGAAGATGCAGGAAGTAGTCACAAGTCAAGCAATATAGATGATAGTTTGGAAAAGGCAAGAAAATGGATTATCTCCTAGGGCCTCTATAACCCTCACTTACCTCCAGAAGTATGAAATAATAGAGCTTTGTTGTTTTGAACCATTCCATTTGTGGCAATTTGATACAGGAGCAATAAGAACTACATACAAGGTGAAAAAAAAAATCCTGTCTCTTAAAAAAATTATTGTTTTTCTAATGGATAGATTTTAGTTTTCAAACAAATGTCTATACCTGGCACAAAAAAAGGTACTGGTTTGTCCAAACAGTATCAAATTTTGCTGGTGCAAAAATTCAAACTGATGAAATCCGCTTCTAAAACTAGCCAGTCAGACTGAGTGATTTTTTTTTTTTTTTTTTTTTTTTGGTTAGAGATCAGTTTCTCAGGGATGCCACATAACCAAATGGCCAGCAGTAGAGCCAGCCAAACACCAGCAATGCGATGCTATTCACTCGTTGCTCTACAGTGTAATGCTATGCTCTGAGATCTGGATGTTGACCTTTCTGGAAGAAGCCTGTGGATATATCTTTGGGTTCAGCCAATGGGAGACACCAGCCCGATACTGGAGGACCTGAAGTGTGGGGTTGGGTTATCTGTCATTCCCACACTTCCTTCCTTGAAGCTGCTCAGATGAGGTACTCCAAGGGGTGTCTGTCCCCACAGCTGCCTTTTTCCTGGTGGCAGTTCCAACAGTGGGGAACTCTTGCTCAATAGAGATCTTTGTCCTGTTCTATCCTTGTAATTCGTCTAGATTCTGCCTTAACTTCACAAAGAGCCCCTTGATAACACCTTCCTTGAATGACTTGTGTGAGCACACCATCTGTTTCTCACTTGAACCCTGATCAGTAGAACTGGGAAATGGGGGCTGTACTTACCCAGAGGGCCAACAATGGCTGATGTAAGCTCTTTCGTGTGAGCATTCCAGAACATGCAACTGAAGTTTCTGCCAGGCTGGGGCTTTAGTTGGAGAACACTGGTGACCTGGTAGAGGCCTTCAGGGGTCCTGATGTAGCTGGTGTTGGCAGGAATACTGACATTTTGCCAGGACACTTCTGCCAGGGGGTAACCTCTAGCCTGGCAGGTGAGCTGCATCTCCCCTGTTCCTGGGACCTCTAGGATCCTAGTGTCTATCTTCTTGTAAGAAGCTGGACAACAGAAGAAAAAGAAGTTTTATTTTGATTGCTGTAGATTCTACTTCAATGCAGGAGAAAATAAAATGATCACTATTGATCTTAGGTAATACTTTTTCATTTTAAAAATATTTTCTATGTCTCAGGTACATTACTTTGCATAGACTGAATAGTTTAATTAGTACAATACAACAAAAATGCTATGTTGATGTTTTCAACTAATTGAGGACAGGTATATTGAAAATGGTGTTCAAAGTCAGAAGAATAAAGACTGGTAGACCCAATGTTTAAAACTAAGAAGGCTACAAACTTGTATCTTAGCACTATGCCATATTCTGTGGCCTCTTGTATTGTAGTCTAAACTGTCTCATAATCAGTGGGTGGAGAGAAGTAAGAGGATGAATACAGGATTAGCACTAAATAACCCCCACAGATCACTTTTTCAGTGGAAAGTTTACCCATAATTTCCGTTTCCCTTTGTTATCTTTAAGATTATTAATTAAGAGTTGGGTGTATTTATTATGACTTCTCAATACAGACATGTCCTTTGTTATTTTTAAGATTAGTTGTAAGTAATTAAGAGTTGGGTGTATTTATTATTACTTCTCAATACAGACATGTTCTGCTCTGTATATGCTGAATGAATTATTCATGTGTGATTCCCTACTTCCTAGAACATAGATATCTAAAACTGAAATGAGATAATTGGAGGGTCAGGAAGACACAAAGACTACCCAACAGTCCTAGGTCATACCTAAAAATTAACAAATATTAACACCACATGTGTAGAGCTAGAAGTGTTGACAGTAAACTGTGGACTTTTTGGTGATGGAGCAAGTTCCAGCTTTTATTAAGTGGGAATTATTGACTTAAATTGATGTTTAGTACAATCATGGAAGGAAAAGTAATTTTGAAGTGAAAATACAGTTGTTGAGATGCTTAATCTTGTCAACTTAATTGGATGAGAAGCTCCTAGGATATTAGCAAAATGGGTGTGTCTGTGAGGACTTCTCCAGAGAGAATTAATTAGGGGATGTGAAGGTCTGCCTTGAACATGGGCAGCACCAACCACCCCATGGGCTGGAGACTCCAATGAACTAAAGAGAAAACAAACCATGATGGGAGTTCTGTTGTGTGTACCCTCCTGTGTACAATGCACTGAAGCCTCTGAAAACATGAGCTAAAATAAATCCTCCCTACTTGAGTTGTTTGTTACAATGGTGAACAGTGACTGCTAGCAGCTGGGTTACAACAGGTTCTTAAACTAATCATGTGGTGGAAAATTAATAACTAAGAGGTATAAATTAGGGCTTATGGCAAGAAGGGAAAACTAGAGTGAAGATAACTCCCTGACTGCAGAGTACGGGACCAGAGCCCAGGAGATAAAGAGTAAGCTGGAACCCACCACCAGCATCCTCGCTGCCCTATTATCTTGAGAACAAGGCCACTGAGCCTGCCAACCTTGTAAAGAAACTTTGTACTCTGTGAAATCTGTAACCTTGAAAACCTTGTGACTGAGACTAGTGGTCTGGTCTCAAGCTTCTCTTTCCATTTTCCCTTTTGAAAATGCTTCACGATTGTGCCTTACTCTTCCGGTAGAGTGAGGTTCCAACCTGTTTTGTTCTTAGCAATAAAAATCTTTTGCTTTTGCAGTCGGGAGTCACTTTCTTGGAGGTTGAGGAAACCAGGTAGGCACAACAAATAGAATATGTACAAGCATGAAAATTTTCTTTTTTGTTTTTTAAGACAGGGTTTTTCACTTTGTAGACCAGGCTAGCCTCGAATTCACAGAGATCCACCTGCCTCTGCATCCCAAACTATTTTATACTAAAGTACTAAAGTACTAAAAACCATATTTTTTTTTTTAGATTTTATTTTTGAGACAGGGTATCTCAATGTAGCCCAGGCTAGCCTTGAACTCACTATGCATCCCAGGTTGAACTTGAATTTGCTGCCTTCTGGTTTCTGCACCCTAATAGGTACTGGGATTATAGGCCTGAATCACCATGGTCAGGTTGGTAACGGCTTTATAAAGACCCTTAAATACATTCAATTGACTTAATCTTAACTATAAGTTTTGTGGCATGCTCTTTTTATATAATGTAAATCAGAAAGAAGAAGGAATGGTCAGGTCCTTTTCTTTGTGTTTTGCCTCTCCATCGTCCTCTTTTGTGTCTTTACTTACTAATTTGACTACTTATCCAGACACCCTTTGAATCAGGGCTTTCCCAGAGAGCTGTACTGTGATCATAACCAGTGGACCTTTGGGCCCATTCTTTACATTTGTGTCTCTATGTAGTGAGCATACCCACCCGGACCGGAAAGTTTGCCTCAAAAGTTCTGACATTTTTCTAGTTTGCCTATATCTGGGGGCATGGAGCAAGGTCCCCACCCACCCCCATCTCTAGGGATTAATCCTAGGGTTGTACATATTAGGCCAGTATTTTTCCACTGTGCTTTATCCCCAGCCACGATGCAGATGTTCTTACATTTTATGAGTAGGGTCTTCGATGGTTACCTTTAGTTGCCAACTTGATGCAACCTATAGTCATCTGGTGAGGAGGACCATCTCAATGAGGGGTGGTCCACACTGAGGTGGTCTGTGGGAAGCTCTATTGGGTATTATCTTGGTTAAGTTAATTGATATGGAAAGACCCAACTCACTCTGCGTGGCGCAGTTTCCTAGGCAGGTGGGACTGAACTACCTAAAAGTAGAGAATTAAACAGCACAAGCAAGCAGGTGTACATGCATTTATTTTTCTCTGTTTCTCACCCTGGATGTAATATTAGTAGCTACCTTGAGTTCCTGCCTTGATTTTCCCTCAATGACAGACTATAACTTGGAACTGTAATACCCAGAGCTCACAGATAATGAAGAGAATTGGGTTCTGATAGTCTACTGAATGATTTGGTCTAGTTTTACCAATCACCTTGGAACCAAGTTTTCGGCTGTCTGGGGCAACCAAACACTGTCTAAAGCAACCTTTGGGAGTAGCCACTTTATCTCTAATTTAGCCACACTTTACACTGCATCTTATTTCTATCTTTTATGGATTGGGGGTAGAAAAAAACAAAAACAAACAAAAAACAAAACAAAGCAGCCTAGATTTATTGGAGTAGTGTGCTATAGGTGAACTCCAGCCAGCTCCTGCAGGAAAGCTTCAAACAGAAAGAAACTGGTCTGTGCTGAACAGAGATATGATTCTGAAGATGGAGGACAGGACCAGGGATCAGGGCTGGCTAAAACTCTGCCTTGTGATGTTCAGATGAAGTGACACATGGGAAAGGGATAGATACTCAGCTAAAAGAACCAGCAGGGTTTGGGGAACAATTACAGTATCAAAAATGCTTCCGTAGCTCCTTTTCATTTGGGAAGTGGCTAGAGAGGCATCACCCCCAAAAAGGCATAATGGGGAAGCTAGACTTTTCTTGAGAAAAGATGAGTAAAATTTAGAGATTCAGTGGTAAAAATAGTTTTTAAAATCCAAGAGTTCCAACTTCCTGCTCACTGAGAAGTATCTTCTCTAGCAACTTTGCTAGATAGCTACCTTGGTTAGTGTTGGACATAAGCCTAGAAACAACAGGTAATCTGAGGTTGGCCAGGACGGCTAAGTAGTCTTCTGCTTCCTATTTGCCCTACCTGTTACAGCAGAGATGAATCAAATACAGATGAGTCAAATGCAGAGATGAACCACAAACTCACATATACACTCATTTGTCATTGTCTTCTTCATCTTGTGTAGTGAGATATTCACTTAGTTCCCTCAGGTAACATCTGCCCCTGTCCCCACTCCCAATGGGTGTGGTCTGTGCCACAGGTGCGGACAAAGTGAAGATATATTGTTAGATGCATGTACATTTAGAAAAGTCACTTCTCCCTATGGAGCTTATTCTTATCATTATGGAATGTGGCTTTTAAAAGATCCTACCATTCTTTTTATGGCATACAAGAACTGTATAAAATATGGATTATATTGACATTTCCATAATGCATTACTGTACTCGAATGACAGTCACTCCTCCATTATCCTCAGTTATATTCCCTCCCACTTCCATCCTTTCCTTTGATGGCATCCCTTTCCCCCTTAGATTCCACAGATGAGACCAAACACATACCTTCTTCCCAAGTCTCCATTATGTCTCTCTACGCAATGATTTCCACCTCTATCCATGTTCCTATAAATGACCTGATTTTGTTCTTTGTTATAGGCAAATATTCCATTAACCACATATAGATTTTCTTTGTGCATTGAGGGCAACTAGACTATGACTTGGCTATTATGAGTAGTGCTACAATAAACATGGTAGGTATTTTTAGGCTGTGCTGACTTAGAGTCCTTTGAATACATACTCGGGACTACTATAGCTGGATCAAACACAGTACTATTTTTAGTCTTCTGAGGAACCTCTATTCTGATTTCCACTGTGGCTAGACCAACTAAAAACACTGCCTTTTATCTTTAGTAACCTCTATTTTTCTCATAATGGCAATCAGTTAGCTACCTAACTTGTAGTTATATCTATAAATAGAAGTCCCTACTTCCCCCAGAGGCTGTATTTGCTATGAACACAACAAGTAACTGAGCTCATTTTTATGTCATCAGTTTCATCCCACAGACACGTGTTTGGCTGAGTAAAACACACAGAATAAGCTCAGTGGCTAAGAACCTGCTCTCGCAAATCTGAAAGGTGTTAGCCAATGGCTGGTGACATGATCTTTCAAACTCTCAGCTTTCTCATTAATCAAAGGCCATCTCCCTCCATCTCTGCTCTGATGGTTTCTATAGCAGCAGAATCATTTCATTCCTGGTACCAGCTCTCACCGATGAGTCTGTGAAGTGATCATCCGGGGGTCTATCGGCCCGGCTTTCCCCTTTACCTCTTCCTTGGCACCATGGATGATGTGACTTCGTCCCTTGGTCCCTGTTGACTTTCAGTCTCTAAAAGAATGATAACTCTCTACTTTTGATTTCTACAAATTTCATGGTTTCTATTTCTCTGGTATGTGTGGGTTGGGGGGAGTATGTGTTGTATGTTTCTTTGTGACATGTGTGCAGGTGGGCATGTTCACATTGGAGGTATGTGGTATATACGGTACATGTTTCTGTGAGCACGTGTGTGTGTGTGTGTGCGTGTGTGTATGCAGGTGGGCATGCCCATGTGAAGATCAGAAGAAACTCCTGCATGTTTTTCTTATTCTCCACTGTATTCCCTTGAAACAGGATATCTCACTGAACTTGAAGTTTACTGTTTTTGGTTAGGATACCATGACCAGTGAGTTCCAGAACCTGCTGTACCTAACCTACAACACTGAGGATACAGACATGGTTTCTTCTTAATGTGAGTGCTATGAATTCGAACTCAGATCCTTATACTTGCCCAGTAAGTGCTCTTACCCATCTCTTAGTCTCCTTATCACTTCTAAGATTAGAACAAACTGTACCTAAAGTATTATTATCTTAATCATCATAGTGACTGCAAATAAAGTGGGAAACCTAGTTCTTAGGTGTCTTTGTCTTACAGGATCCAGGCAAAGTACAAATAATCATTGAAACAACTTTGAGGATTGCTTTCAGTCTGTCATTAAACAGCCTGCACAATAATATAGGGTCAGATTCCAGATGCTTGACCCTCTTGGAAAGTCAGGACAGTATGTTCTTGACTCTAATAGCCTTATTCCCTTGTTCCCTGAGGGGAAAGGAGCTGAGGAAAGAGGTATGGCTCCCTCAGTAAGTCAATACAGCCTATGCTTTCCTTAGGCCCAGAGTTTCAGATGTCAGTTACCTTTCCACCCAAGGCTTCTTTTCCAGCTTCCTTTGCTATGCCCTTTGTCATCATTTCTGGTGGATTCCCTGCAATGGGAGGCATGTTGCCTCCTTCCTCAGCCTTTTGAAGTTGTATTCATATCTTCCTGTTGGGTTAAAGTACTTCATTCCCCACAGTGGCTCATCTGTTTCTATGCTTAGCTCCAGCTTGACTGTGGCCTGCTGCTCCGTTGCTCTGAGCCTGCCTGGAGGCCTCTTTGCACATCACTCGTCCACCTGGCAGCTTTGTGAGGCCCTGGCCTCTCTCAGTGCCTCTGTACTCTTCAGCCACTCTCCTGCCTGATGGCTTTTAGTCACGTGGCTACAGCAGGGTTTTTTGGAAGCCACCATCTCGTCTGGATCTTTTCCTCTTTCTGCCTCATCATTTTTCTATCCTTTTGAAGTCCACTTTCCCCCCCTATATTTAATGAGTCACTGTGTGGAGAGAGGTGTTACATACCCTATTGAACAGATTTATTCCCTAGATTTGAAGGTCAAACTAACCCTCTGTTCATACTCCATTTGTAGGATGTTTCCCTAGGCCCCAGATCTGAAGCTCAGCATCTCCATAAGTTACTCTTACTTGTTAGTCTTTAACACTGCTCTCTGTTTACACTCCTCTGATGAAAATTAGACACAATGTTCCCTCTTGTGTGTCACTGTGATTCTTAGACTTTTCTATAAGCTTTTATATTGAAAAATACATATTTAGAATTTTATAAATATTTCCAACAAATAATTGCTTCATTCTTACAAATACACATGCATATATGTTTGTTCTCTGATTTATCATTTGTAACCTTCTTATACTTAATAACAAAATAGGTACAGCTATTGAAATTAAATCTTTCCTTATTATTGTGGGATTTCAGCTGCCCAAAGTTAGAAAACACCCACAACTATTTGATGATCAGATTATTTGACTATATGACTGAGTGAAAGCTATATTGAATATAATTCGATCCGATCTTCTGCAGTGATTCAGAAATGGCTTCCAGATCTTTCCATACCTTCCTCTAAGGGTGCCCCGTCAACACTGATGGATACAGCACACACTTTCCCACCCACACACTACTGCCCTTCCTATTTCTGCTATGTTAAAGGCTTATTCAGATTAACCAGGCTTTTAAAATGCAAGCAAATGGGTCACTCTGAGTAGGCAGAAACCCAGTAACACACTAGTAAAAGAGAGGCTAGGCACAAAAGCAAGAACTTTTTAAATTTAAGTTCTCTGCTGGCACTGCTCATCTTCCTGGGAGCTCCCTGCCTTCGTAGAGTAAGAAATATTCATCCCCAAAGAATACAAGTCTACTTAGAAAACATGTAGGGGGATTGAAATCAAATTAAAGAGGGGTAAATTTCCCTCTAAATAATTCAACTCCCTTAGCCTGTGGTTCTGCCTCCATATGAAACTACCTTGCATATCTCTGGTGAGATGTGTCTTATATCCTGGGAAACACTGCAAATAGATACTGCAGCTTTTCAGGCCAAATACCAATGGACCCGGAATTGTAAGCATATTAACTGTATTCTTGGAGCCAAATGTCTTTGAACAAAATCATAAGATCCTAATGACGACACATGTTTCAGGTCAAGATAACAGTATTAAAGAATATAGTTATAAAATACCTTCTGTGAAGGTCTGAGCAGTCTAAGAGACCTCAGACAGTGGAGCCAGGATGTATCCCTGGTGCACAAAAGGACTTTGCAAACATATCCCCCATGGAGGGATAACTGCCTTATTCTAGAGATAGGAGAGAAGCCCTAGTTCCTACTTCACAGGACCTGTCAGATCTACATGACCCCAACTGGATGGCATTCCCCTACATATTGTATTGTGGTGGGGGGTTGGGAGGGGAGGGTGTTTAGAGTGCATGGGAGAGGGTAGAGAGGGCAAAAGGGAGGGAAGGAGGGAGGGAGGGCTTGGGGGGAGGGAGGGAGGGAGGGAGAGGGAACTGGGATCGACATGTAAAATAATAATTAAAAAAAAAAAAAAAAAAAAAAAAAAAAAACGCTTTGACTCCAAAATTTAAGTTGAAGAACAAGTTACTGGGGAAAAGTATTTCTATTTTTGTTTCCACAGAAAATGAAAAGATGTGGATTCCTTCCAGACTAATGTGGTTTGATCACACCAGACCGCCTGAAACAGAGTACAAGCTGATCCTACATTCCAAACAGCTGGACAAAACAGCCCTACAGACTACAGCTAGGATATCTGAATCTTCTTCGAATCCCCCCAAGACAGCGCCCCTTACCAGCAGGAAGTAGTTTGGAAAGAACGACGCCCAAATTCCCAAATATTGTGTATAAATGTTTGTTTTCATTTAATTGGACTTTGTTATATAAAATTAAATAAAAAATACTCTATATGCATAAAAAAAAATAAAAAATAAAATACCTTCTGTGAAACTTGGCCTGTAGTAGTTAAACATCGTTCCCTATCTTTTTCCTTTGACTTTATTGATCCAAAATAGTGAACATCCATGGTGGATTCACATGACCTGGTGGTCACCGGTGAAAGACAGAGAAATACAGCACAGGTCTTAGCTGTGCACTCTTAGTTAAGTAGATTAACCTTTCTGTGCCTCATCCCATTTTCAAAAGGGAGGTAGCAATGCCACCTGTCTCACTGGCTTCCAGGGGGACTAAATGAGGTGCTGTTATGTCTAAGTGCATCTAAGAGCTCTGTATGAGGTGGGTGTCATTACCAACACTGGTTAGAGATGGTGCTATTTAAGACATGTGATTCAACTGCCATTATCAACACATATTACCAAAATGTAAAATATCATGGATATTGACAATTCTTAAGTGTGAAAAATGAAGGAAAAATAAAACATTCATTGTATTTTTCATTTTTTTGTAGCTAAAATGGCTAATGAATCTTGCTTTTTGAATTAGGTAGGAACTGGAAGCAAGCTGAAAGGCATAGTTTATCAGGCAAAGCTTGCTAATTTAGATTGCCAGCTGTTATCTCTAGGCGAGGATCCTCTAGGTGAGCATCTGGCAGCTGCTGTCCAGGTAGAAGAGGCAGCAGCTACACTGCTCTGTGAGGCATGGGGTTTCTCTTCACTCTTGTGTGGCTCTGTGGAGGTTTTAAACCTTGGGGCAATGGATTATATCTGTGAAGGGAGGCAGGCCTTTCGTGAGGAGAGAGAAAGGGTAGCCCTAAATGCCTTGCCTGGTGGTTCATTCTCAGGTTCATCCATTTGGGAAAGAGATTGAGAACAATGAAGATGTAGACCCCAAGCCTGTGTTTCCCTCACAGAGTCTGTGGGAACCAAAAGGTTCCCTCTGTGACAACCATTGCTTTAAGGAAGAAATCTCCCTGCACAGGGGGTCCTGAGTCCAGCAGAGGAAAAGGCAGGATGTCTCCTCATTCTGACTTCCTTTAGCCAGTTTACCTTTAGTTATACCAGATGTCAAAATATATTTCTTTTCAGATGCCCCTTTGTCCCCTTTGAAGTAGCTGCCCCTCTTGTGGAACATTACTGTAAGATGGGTTACATTTGTTTATGCTGTGGAACATTTGTTTTAATGATGCAAAGATGTGTTGCATTCTTTTACGTTGCATTTGTTTAACTCTGTAAAGCTTGATTGGCCTAATTAAGAGCTGAATGGCCAATAGCAAGGCAGGAGAAAGGATGTGGGGCTGCCTGGCAGAGAGAATTAATAGAAGGAGAGAAGGGAAGAGAGAGAGCAGAGCAAAGGAGGAGGAGGACATCAGGGGCCAGCCACCCAGCTACACAGGACGCCAAGGAGTAAGAAATAAGGAAAGGAATATAGAATAAAGATAAAAGCCCAGAGGCAAAAGGTAGGTGGGCTAAGTTAAGAAAAGCTGGCTAGAAATGAGTCAAGCTAAGACTGAGCATTCATAAGTAAGAATAAGCCTCTGCTTGTGTGATTTCATTTGGGAGGTGGGTGGTGCCCCCCCCCCAACAGAGAAAGAGCCGAAAGAGTAAAAACCAACCAATATAGCCTCTTTCAACCAGGTTTTCAGCTTTCACTCGAGCTACTGAAAGTAGAGTGCTATGGTGCGCAGCTGTTACAACCTACCATCAGCGACGACTTGCAAACACTCACCTTTGACCTTCACCGTCAGGTACTTATAGTCCCAGGCAGCCCCGCAGATGACCAGACAGCGGTATTGCCCCGCATCGCTCACTTGGACACTGGGGATGTGGAACAAGGCCTTCCCCAGTGGCAGCGCCTCCTCCAGTAGGGTGGCTCTCTCACTGGGCGATGAGGTATCGTTTTCTACCTTCTGCAAGCTGGCTCTTACTTCTTCAAGCTCCGCGCATCCACTGAGGTCAAAGTCACACTCCAGGCTCACGTTGCTGCTGAACTCTACTGTGTACACTTCCTTAGGGACTGTCACTGTGAATAAAGCTGAAAGGCAAAGACAGCTTGCTGTTGTCTAATTCTGTCACATTTCAGTTCTTGTAGAATGGGAGCTGGGCTCCACCCCTCCGGCATCTTCCAGGAGACCCCTGTCATTCTCTGGGCTGTCCTCATGGCTCTCCTTGCTTCCCTTCCCGTCCCATACAGAAACAGTGGAGTTCTTGTTTCAGCATGCAGAGGTGGTTTCCTTCTCTGAACATTCCCACCCGCCCAGCTGATCCCCACTCCTGCTTCTCCTGAACAGCCCAGTAGGAGCTTCTGATGGACAGGCCTCCTTGCTCCCAACAATATCCCACCTCAGAGCCCTGCAGTTAGCCCAGAGCATGCTACTCCTGAGACCATAGGCTGCCCTACCATCGAGGGCTACCTCCATTTTATTTATTGTTGTTCTATCTTATCATCTGGGATGATTTCCTTTAGTTTTTAACCTCTCTTTGCCAAATAGCACCATCTCTAACCAGTGTTGGTAATGACACCCACCTCATACAGAGCTCTTAGATATACTTAGACACAACAGCACCTCATTTAGTCCTCCTGGAAGCCAGTGAGACAGGTGGTATTGCTACCTCCCTTTTGAAAACGGGATGAGGCACAGAAAGGTTAATCTACTTAACTAAGAGTGCACAGCTAAGACCTGTGCTGTATTTCTATCTTTCACCGGTGACCACCAGGTCATGTGAATCCACCATGGATGTTCACTATTTTGGATCAATAAAGTCAAAGGAAAAAGATAGGGAACGATGTTTAACTACTACAGGCCAAGTTTCACAGAAGGTATTTTATAACTATATTCTTTAATACTGTTACCTTGACCTGAAACATGTGTCGTCATTAGGATCTTATGATTTTGTTCAAAGACATTTGGCTCCAAGAATACAGTTAATATGCTTACAATTCCGGGTCCATTGGTATTTGGCCTGAAAAGCTGCAGTATCTATTTGCAGTGTTTCCCAGGATATAAGACACATCTCACCAGAGATATGCAAGGTAGTTTCATATGGAGGCAGAACCACAGGCTAGGGGAGTTGAATTATTTAGAGGGAAATTTACCCCTCTTTAATTTGATTTCAATCCCCCTACATGTTTTCTAAGTAGACTTGTATTCTTTGGGGATGAATATTTCTTACTCTACGAAGGCAGGGAGCTCCCAGGAAGATGAGCAGTGCCAGCAGAGAACTTAAATTTAAAAAGTTCTTGCTTTTGTGCCTAGCCTCTCTTTTACTAGTGTGTTACTGGGTTTCTGCCTACTCAGAGTGACCCATTTGCTTGCATTTTAAAAGCCTGGTTAATCTGAATAAGCCTTTAACATAGCAGAAATAGGAAGGGCAGTAGTGTGTGGGTGGGAAAGTGTGTGCTGTATCCATCAGTGTTGACGGGGCACCCTTAGAGGAAGGTATGGAAAGATCTGGAAGCCATTTCTGAATCACTGCAGAAGATCAGATCGAATTATATTCAATATAGCTTTCACTCAGTCATACAGTCAAATAATCTGATCATCAAATAGTTGTGGGTGTTTTCTAAGTATTTTCATCTAGTGAGAGGTGAGCTTGGATTCAGATCCCAGTAGTAGCCTGATCAGTTAGGAGCCTCTGAGTGCGGACCTGTCATTCAACTTCCGTGAGCCTGTCCATTTTCTTTTAAGGAGGCTAGGATCTATCTCTTGGTTCTGTGGGAAAATGTGGGCAAGGTGGAACACATGTACCACCCACATCTGTCAGAAAACATTCTTCCAGGGGATGGTTTAGTTCTTGGGACAGTAGTAGTCCATATGGAACAGGTAGTCATTCTTTATTAGCTAGGATGTTCTGCCCGTCCCTCCCTCTCTCTCTCCCTCTCTTTCTTTCTTTCCTCCCTTCTCTCTTCCTCTCTCCTTCCCTCTTTTCTTTCTTTCACTGACTGGGTCTCACTATGTAGCCAGGCTGGCTGTTAACTTTTACTCCTGCCTCAGCGGTCTAGGCCCTCAGATTCTAGTTGCACACCACAATTGTGGTGAACTAGGATATTAATTAACCAGAATGCTTGTCTATTCCCCGACCCAACTCCAAAGTGTGAGTAAGTTTGTGTTTCCTGCTGGTTGATGACTCACACTGAAATTCTCTTTTAGATTGTTTTTGTTTGTGAGGCAGGGCAGTGCTAGGTAGTCCCATATGGTCTTGGACTCAAGTCCTTCCTGCCTCAGCCTCCGGGGTACTGGAGGTGGCCAGGGTGTTGTACCATACTCAGCTTGCAAGTCTCCTCTGATTCAAATTTTTCCTTCTTTATCCTAAGATATCCTAAGAAGTTAAAGATAAGAGTAAGTTTGCTTTGGTGTTTTTTCTACTATCTAGCATATTGGTCTCAGCTATGGGGAATCAGCACTTGTTTGTGCAGCAGAGTCAGGAAAAAGACTCTAAGGTGTGTGCTCCTTTGCAAAACATTGCTAATCATGCATGCCCTTGCTGAGAAGACCCTAGGCTCATACAAGTGAAGAAGGATGCCGGAGTTCAAGAATTCCTGTACGATTCCATTTTGGACACTCTACTGAATGCTAAAATCACAAGTTCTTACATACCTTACACGTAGTTTCCATAGCAGGACCCTCTCAGTGTTAAGATCTGTTTTTATGAGAACTGTAATAATTAGTTTGGTTTTTTTTTCCTTCAATTTGATGGGATTTAGAAACGCCTAGGATCTAAACCCCTGGGCATGTCTGTGAGAGGGTCCAGAGAGACTTAATCGAGCAAGGAAGATCCACCTTGAATGTGAGTGGCACCATGCTCGGACTAGGGTCCTGGGCTAAATAACTGTGAGAAAGTGAACTGAGCACCAGTGTCCCTCTCTCTCAGCTTCCTGACTGCAGATGCATTGTGACAGCTGCCTCACACGCCTACCACCATGCCTTCCCCTACCACCTCTCAAACTGAAATAAAATAAACCTTTCTTCCCTTAAGTTGCTTTCATTGGGTACTTTGTCACAGCCAGGGAAGTAAAATGGCTACAAAAGAAATCATCTCTAAATCCTTCACTGCCTTATAACTATGAGATACCTTGTACCAAATCCACTCTGTCCTGGGAGGAGTCATGATTACTAATCACCCATCAAAAAATACACTAGCTACTTTCTGAGCACTTAGTGTAGCAATTTACTACTGTTAAATCACATCCCCCCTTTAAAATTACAGACATCCAAACAGAAAGCAGGGAGAGAGGAGGGGGCATGGGAGACGGGTGTACAAGGAGTGTTAGTTGTGTGTCTGAGTGACAGGGCTGCATGGACGTGGAGATGTGCTGACTGACTTAGCTCATCTGTTTACCACTCTACACTTTTTTCTCATGAGAGGCGCGGGTACTTCCTCTGGAACTCCCCATTATGACAGAACTTCCCCAATCACTGCCCAGCCTTATACAAACCTATGCGTGGCTTCTCTTTTCTTTTCAACTGCCCCCCCATCTACTTTGTGGAGAAGACGCCCCAGCTTTAGAAATAAAATGCTTTACTTTTTCAGACAGGTGGCATTGGGGGGGCTGAAGTTTCCTGAGTGGAGAGAGCAATTAGCCAACATAAGCCATGCACCAGAGTACCTCAGAATGACCGAGGGTTGTTTTCTCCACGAGTTTTGACTCCGTTTTTAGCCTCCAAGATGTGAAAAGTCTTGAGCTTGTTTGCTCATTATAAAATGGGTCGTTTGAGAGTTGCAACATACTTTTGAAATACTATAACTTTGGGTTTTTGGTGTCATTTCATTTCACAGAGGAAATGAAAATACAATCAAGTCTGTGAAGAGCTGTTCCTCAAGGCTGTGTGCACAGTAGAGCAACCAAGCAGAAGGCCTCAGCCTGCCTGACTCGGGAATCCTTTGGAACACTGCCTGCACCCATTCTGTGTTGTTCGAACAAAACACCAAAGGCGGTGAGCTTTATTTTGAATGAGCCTCAAGATTCTGGTAATGGAGGGTCCAAGAGGCGAGGTGCCACCATCCAGGTCTATCCGTGTCACAACAGGGTGCAGAAGCAGAAAGGGATGGCCATATACTTGAGGTGGCTTCCCATTATAACTACCCACTCTTCAAAGACAGATATCATCCATTTGGTAGTGTGGACACTCAGGATTTAATTACCATCCACTAAACCCCACCTTTGAAAGCTTCCGCCAAGATAATGCCACTGTGCTGGAGGCTAAGCGCCCCTACCAGAACCTTCGAGAAGCTCATAACCAAACCATAGCAAAGGCTTTTTGAAATATGAATGTCCAAAGTTGGCTTCTTTAGATGAAATTATCATCATCATCATCATCATTGATTTTTTGAGACAGGGTTTCTCTATGTAACCTTGGCTGTCCTGGAACTCTGTAGACCAGGCTGGCCTCAAACTCAGACTCAGGGGCCTCTGCCTCCCAGTACTGGGACTAAAGGCATGCACCACCACCACCTGACTGATGCTCACTATCTTACATGGATTGCTTTAATAGCTCTTCTTTAACTCATTCTGTTGCAAAAAAAAAAAAAAAAAAAAAAAAAAAAAAAAGTGCTTATAGGCGTAGAGCAGACAGCCATTTTGCAACTCTCCTGGGAGCTTCTAATGTGCAAACCGTACTGAACAACTCCAGTCAAGCAAATCAAACATCTGCAATTGTAAATACTTTCACCATCTTGCCAAAGCATTGCCTTCAGCTTCACCTGAGTTCTAATTAGGATGTAGATGCTCAGGCTTGCCCCAAACCCAGAGAGTCAGGATCTGCGAGGCAGACTATGGCTTTGATGCATTTGGACTATAACTGGGAAAAGCTGATAATTGACTTTTCTAAATGATCCCTGAACTAAAGGAACCCTTATATCCCCCTCTTATTGGCTCTCCCATCAACCCTCCAAAGTGGGAGGAATAATCCATGTTTAACAGGTGAGGAATCCAAGGCTTTACAAAGGACACAGTTTGCTTAAGGCCAATAATGAAGGCCATGGAGCTGGAATTCAAATTCTTCTCTATGTATAACTCACTTTCATCTGCTGCTC